CAGCTCTCATTTAGATTTCCATACTATGGTAATTACATCCTGCAAACAATTCAAATAAAATCATGTTCTATCATCTGAATCATTTGTAAAATAAATCCGGATACACTATTACACCTACGTAGAACTTTTCTAGCTAAAATCAGAGGCTAGAAAAGTTCACACCCTGTCATTTGATTATTTCAACACACTTCAATTTTCAACATCAATATGGGGAAGATATTGAAGCAGGTACCATTCACCATTTTATAGAGGAATATATTGGTACTGTCTGATGTCTTGCAGCAAGTTAGTGGCACAGCTAGGAGCGGAACACAGACTTTCCAGCTCCTTGCTCTGAAGATGAGAGAAAATTCAGAACACTGACTTACAATGCCTAAAGCAGCAGTTACCAACCGGTCAATCACAACTGACTGGTATGTCCTGGGACATCTCCAAGCTGATGGCCATCTCTGGTGGTGGTGCTAGGCTGTTGCTAAGGCAGGCTCCAAACTTGCTCTGGCCCCACACCCCTGGCCTGTTCCTGGAAATGGTCAAAATGGCCTTGCTTCATGGAAGGGGGTCTCAGTGTAATAGTCTTGCTGTGCTACTGCTCCTCCCCACAGCTCCCATTGGCCAGGAAAGGGAAACTGGCCAATGGGAATTGATGGGGTGTTGCTGGCACAGAGACAACACATAGAACCACATGCCCGCCCACCCCCAGGAGCTCTGGGGCACACTGGCCCATTTCAGGCACAGACACAGGTAGTACAAGCATATAGGTTTTGTGCCCATAATACTGACTTCATGCCTCTGCAGCCCAGTGTCCCAACCACTAGGCCTGCTGCTGCTGCTGCTGAAGTAATTTTCCTCCCCAACACTCTGGGTACAGGAGGGGGCTCTGGCTGGGGCAATCTCTTTCCCAGTGTTTGCACCTGTCACCTACTTGTGCCCCATGCTCAGACCTCCCAGTCTGGTGAAAGTGAATGAGGATGGGGAGATTGAGTGATGGGGGGAGGAGGAGAGTGGGCAGGGACTTAGGGAGGAGCAATGTAGATTCTGGGTTGTCCTTAAATTCAAAAATTGATCTTGGGCATAAAAAAAGATTAGAGACCACTGGCCTAAAGCAACATGCATTGGGGGGAAAAAAGCATCCCTCATTTGATCTGATATGCGTATAACATTGTTTTGCTGCATTTGGTGCCGACATATTATCTAAGAGTATTAGTGAACCAAATGAGTACAGATTTTTGTTTTAAAAATATAAAGGTTTTGGTTTCTTAAATATTTCCTAAGATATAACTTGACTTAATTAAAAACCATTGCCTTTTTTGTTCTTTTCTTTATTTATACATTAGTAGAAGAGTAAAGAAAACTTACAGTAGAATAATTTGTTTTTATCCATTTTGATTGTGATGGTCCTCCAATGTAGCTCCACGGCTGGTGGGCTGGCCGTGATGCCAGAGTTGTTTTTTGTATGGCAGTTGTACAGGAAAGTCTTGCTTTGGGTGGGCTAGATACATTTTCCACTGCAGATTTAGCTACTTTCCAAGTGTGAGGTACAGTCTGTCCTGATGAATCACTAAGGTTGGAGACTACAGAGGTATTGAAAAGGAAATTTTTATCATCACCATCAAGCCATGCATTTGCTGAAGAACATTCTACAGTCTCTTCAGCCTTTTTGTTTAATTGTTGTAATCAATTACTGCACAAAAAGTCTGACATTTTCTGCGTGTGGAACTGAAAGCGAAGAAACAGTACCTTTTTATTATTTTGATGGTCCAGAATTAGTTCCGTAACTCTGGTCAAGATTTCATCTGAGCTCAATCCTGAAAGTTTGTTTCCATTTTTAATTTGTACTTTTTTAATGAAGTCAGTAAGTTCAGATCTAAGAGAAGGATAAAAAGTAAAGCACAGAATTTTACAACAGTTTGTATTATGATTCAATCAGCACAACTGCATTAAGAAAAACCCCTCTTTGCTTACAGTTTTAGATTCATAGTAGTAGCCTTGTTCAGAAAAAAAGGGTGGGGTTTGTCATTCTCAAATGCATGATAGAAGACCGTGGTGGGCAATCATTTTTTATGGGGGGGGCACTCCAAAAATTTGGCAAATGGTCAAAGGCCACACTCTTCCATATTAATTGGAGGAGGTGGGGGGGTCTAGAATGGAGGTTGGGTGCAGAAAGGAGCTTGGAATAAGGGACTGGGTTGCAGGAGAGGCTATGGGGTCTGGGAAGGAGTTTGGGTGAAGGAGGCACTTGTGACCTGGGTTAGTGGACTAGGGTGCAGGAGGGGGAAGAGGGGTTTGAGTTGTGACCTAGGATGGGATGATTGTGACTTGGGGCAGGGGACTATGGTGCAGGAGGGGGTGGAGGGAGTTGGTTGTGACCTGGGGATTGGGGGAAGGGGATTGGGGTGCAGGATCTGGGAAGGGATATGGGGGCAGACAGTTTGAGTTATGTGGGGTAGGGAGTCAAAGGGTTGGGGTGCCAGAGGCTGGCTCTAGCTGGGAGATTTACCTGCTTGACTCCCACCCAGCAGCCTTCTTGAACAGACTCACTGCCTGCCCTGCCCCTGCACTAGCTACAGGGGGGTCATGTAGTTTTTGAACAGCTACAAGCCTGAGGGGAGGGTGCTTTGCAAGCTGTTAATAGCTTGGGGCAGGAACAGCGCCTGAAGCCTCTCTCCCTTTCCACCCCCCCCCCCCCCCCCCTCCCCGCC